CTTTCACAAAAAAGGGGTCGGCCCCAACACCGGCGGCACGAGAGCCAACGCAAATCCACCACCACACAACGCTATCCCAGAGATGCCACCCGAGAGCAGCAAAATGCAAAGCATTTTGAGCCAGAATTACCGATTCCCATCATTTCCAGCATGCAAATCCCCAAAATGTTCTCCAACGCCTTGCTCTGAACTTTTTCCCCTGTCCCGTTTTGCAGTGGGACGCTCGGGGCGAAGCAATCCGCTCTTCTGCTCCCAAATTTGGCTTTTCAAAGCAAGGGTAACGGAAAGCAGCATGCCGCAGGGCTACTCACGCAGTCCTATCTTGGCCAGGTGCAGGCGGTTCACCCAGGAGATCTTGCTCAGGGGGTTTGGAGTGATGAAGACCACCATGACGCTGATGGGGCGGCCAGACCTGCATAGGGAAAGCATCACCAGGTTGGTCTTCAGCCTCCTCCTCCCCAGGGTGGGAAGAGCCCGCCCGTGATCTGCAAACTCACTTGTCTGGCTTCCCGGGCAGCAGGAGACGGAGGCGGCACTTGTTGGCGGAGTGGATCTCCTCCTCCTTCACCTTCATCATCCTCTGCAGGGCCAAACACCAGTCCTGGGCCACTGTCATGTTCAGGTTCTGGGGGGAGAAGTCATACATCATGGAAGTAGCTCCAAAATAAGCCTGAATCATCCCCAAATTTCATCCACGGGGCTCAGGAGGATGAGGTGTCCAGCGGTCCCCGAGGAACTGCGTGGTTATTGCAAAGCACCCAAGCTTGGTTCTCCCCACATCATGAGTTTGACTATGCTTTGGTACGTAGGTACCTGGTAGGTGCCGTGCAAGGTGCTGATGAGAAGGGTGATCTGCTCCACTACCGCCAGGTCCTTCTGCAGGTCTTGCAGCTCCTGGAAGAGCCGCGGTGGCCCCAGGTAGACTTTATCTTGGGCACACAAATGGAGGGGGGAAAGAAAAAAAAAAAAAGGTCCATGGAGGATGCTCCATCCCACCCCACTGAAACCAGCCCAACAGCAGCTCAAGGGATGGGTGCTCACTGTGCGAAGCCTGCCCGGCTGGCACGTGCTTCTTGGCGCCGGCGTTGTGGATGACAACGTTGTCCTTGTCGTAGGCACCGCTGTCCTGCCCCACCTCCACCACCTGTACCTGCGGGAGGGCCGTGCTCCACTTCACCACGTATTTGGGACCCAGGGGCACCAGGCTGCTAATTTCCAGCTGGCCTCTGCCGAGGGAGGATGCGACAAATATATGTAAATAAATCAGCAGGTGCCGCGGCTTCCCCTGCAAGCCCTTGCGAAATGCACGTTGCGAGCCAAGCCCCATTTGCAACCCCACGCCGCACACTGTGCATGCCTGCACCCCCAAACTTGGGGCACGCAACCACAGCAGACCACGCTCGACACCTACCCTGGGTTCACTGGCCTGGAAGAGGGGAAAAATGATTAATAAAGAGGTATTATGGGGAGCTCAAGGAGGGTTTTTCCCTTTGCAGCAGCAACCTCCACCAAGCCCTGCGGTCCCAGCAGGTTCCCAGACCCCACACCAGCTCCAGGACCAGGGATGGGGGATGCAAAAAGATGGAGGCATGCAAAAAGTGGGGAGCAAAGCAACCCCAAACCAGGTGGCTTCCCCCTCCAAAACAAGGTGGGGTGGTTTTAAAAGCCTTTGGGGTAGAGCTAGCAAAACCCACTCAGCCCAAAATCAAGGTGGGGAAGGTCACTACGGCGACGCTTTGCGAAGTGATTTTGGGGTCCGGGGCTGCCGGCACGTACTTGAAGTTGATGTTGGCGCAGACCAGCATGTCGTTGAGGAGGAAAACCTTCCGTTCTTTCGACTTGATGAGCTGCCCCCGGTCGCCGTACACTGTCTCTGTCAGCGTCTCGCAGAGCAGGAGCTGCCGCTGCCCCGAGCTCAGCAGCTGCGGAGGGGATGGAGCAGGCAGGGGGGGTTGCTCAGCCTGGGGGCTCTCACAAACCTCCTGCCCCAAAATTTGGGTTGCAAGGATTTGCCTCCAGCCAGGAGCGTGCACAGCCCCGAGCTCTGCAGAGACGGCTGTGCAACGGGCTCTGAGGCTGCACGAGGCAAAAGCCCTTTGCACCCTGAACGCCCAACCACCAAGACAGCAGAGCCCTGAAAGACCGACGTGGCCATTTTGCAGCCCCTTTTGGGTCTCTCTTCATCCCCTGGCCCTAAATCTTGAGCCCAAGGCTGAGGTGGCGGGTGCTCCGCTGCGGTTTTTGCCACCACGGCCATCCCCAGCCCAGGATGTGTTGCAAGAGCTTCATTTAGGGGTGGTTGTTTTTTCCACCAAAGATTGCAAAATCAGGCGGATGAGACAGCAGCTTATCCTTGCTTTTCCCTTGAGGGGAATTTCCCCGTGCCAGACTCGAGATTCACTTTTGCTCAACGCCCTTTCAAGAGAAAACAAGGATCCTGGCTTCCCAACCCCCAAACCACCACCACCCCGACGTGAAGAAGGTGGAAACTGCAGAGCTCAACCACCAGCTCCAAAACCCACCACCCATCGTGAGGATGAGGAGGTGAGGCTGAAGGACCCACCTTGTTGAGGCTGCTGCGGTCACTGATGCTCTTGCTGAGCTGCTGGATTTCGGCAACTTGGTCGGCCAAGCGCTTCTGCTCGTTGAGCTTCTCTGCCAATGTCTCCAGCTCGGTGAGGGCCAGCTGGAGGGACAGGCGGTCCGCGTGGCCCTTGGGGGTGTTTTTCAGCATGTCCTGGGGTGGGGGAAAGGATGGGGGACAAAACCCACCCCAGAAAAATCAGTCCTGTTGGGGATGTTACAATTGGAAGTGCTTTCAGCACCTTTGAAATCAAAGCTTGGAAGATGATCCTTGGGCAAGTCCCCAAAGCTGCAGCCAAGCTGCCAACCCAAAAACATGTCCCTTGCTAAACCCTTTCCTGCAGCACTCCGGCTGCAAAAAATAGGGTGCAAAGCAAGGTGGGTGCTGGTACCCCTCGCCCGTACCTGCAGGAGCAGGATGAACTGAGGAAACCTCTGGATGGGCTTCACCATCAGCCCATAGAGCGTGACCCGGTCGGCGCTGGCCATCTGTCTCTTCTACAGTGGGGACAAAAAGCAAAAAAAAAAGAGGAGTTTTCACCCATAACGGTGAGCAGCAGCACCTTGCGCCCACATTTGGGTCCTGCTGACCTTGAGGAAGTCGAGGAAGGCAGGTTTGGTGAGACAAGCCTTCTTGATGAGGGACATGGCAGTGGTGAAGTTGTTGACGTAGTCGCTGTAGACGTCCAGCACCATCGACTTGGAGAACTGGGGAGAGGGCAGGAGGAGAGCCGCGATGGCACGGGGCTCCCCCAAAAAGGGAGGTGGGGGTGCTCGTGTATTTTTGGAGCGATGCTGAGGATCCCGGTGGTACCCCAGGTTGGGGCTGCATCACTTAAATCCTCCAACCCCTCCACTATCGCTGAGGGGGGTCCAGGGGGAGGTTTGGCAGCGGCCCCCCGACTTTTCCTCCTACCGAGGCCACGAAGAGGTCCCCGATCTTCTCCGTCGAGTCCCACTCGGCCACGCGGGAGGCGAGGGCGATCTGGAACATGGAGTGGCACTGCAGGATCTCCTTCAGGCGAAAAAACACCACCTGGCACTTCCTAGCGCTCAGCACCTTCGGCTCCATCTCCATCAGCGGGTTCCGGTAATCCTGC